TATATTTGTATACCACCCTTCTCAGCCCTTAGGCGACTCATATTATATTAGGGTTGCATATTATATGGAAGTGGAGATGCCTATAATCCAGTTCAAAGCAGATAACACCATGACCCCTTCTGCACAGCTATATACAATGCACATTGAACTGGATTATATCACACTGTGGACTCAGATAACCAGGGCAGTTCCAGACAGACCCTATACCCTGGGATCTGATCTCATGTTTTCTGTTTATCCCATATTATCTGGCAGTGCAGGCTCATATAATCCAGTTTAAAGCAGAAAACCTGGGATCAGATCCTGGGAGATAGGGCTCATCTGGAAGGTCCCCAATTCAAAACAAATATTGTGGATTATGTGCCTTGATATTCTGGGGGCCCTTCCACACAGCCCTATATCCCAGAATATCAAGGCAGAAAACCCACAGTATCTGCTTTGAACTGGGTTATCTGAGTCCACACTGCTATTTATTCCTGTTCAAAGCAGATAATGTGGGATTTTATTCAGCTGTGTGGATTAGCCCTTAGGCTGGATCTACACCGCCCTATATCCCAGGATCTGATCCCAGATTATTTGGCAGTGTAGACCCCTATAATGCAGTTCAAATCTGATAATCTGGGATAGGATCCTGGGATACAGGGCAGTGTCAATCCAACCATAGTGTTATCTGCTTTTAACTTTTGCTTTGATATTCTGGGTCATATGGCTGTGTGGAAGGGCCATACACTGCCCTATATCTTAGGATCTGATCCCAGATTATCTGGCCTTGTAGACCCATTAGGTAATCAGGGATCAGATCCTGGGATATAGGGCAATATAGATCCAACCATAGTAGTGTAGCTCTATAGTCCCCCTTTGAGGGGAGAAGGGTGGGGTAGAAATGGATGAAATAATAGTGTTATCTGTTTTGAACTGGATTAAAGGCCATAGAATCCACTTCAAAGCAGGTAATCTGGAGTCAGAAACGGGATTCTGTGTGTGTGGATGGGGTGGTCTCCACCCTAAGAAGTGGTCCCACTGCCTGGAGGCCCTTCCACACAGCCATATAACCCAGAATATCAAGACAGAAAATCCCACAATATCTGCTTTGAACTGGAATATAGGGCAGTGTGGACTCAGGGCAGTTTGCAATTTGGCCATTTTTAAATAATAGAATCTGACATTTTTTGGATAGCACCAGAGAGTGGAAGCGAACAGCATCTTCCTTTACAATGCACCTATGTGTTTTGTACTCTACATTACATTCCCAAAGAAAGACCCAAGCTTTCCACCTCCCTCCTCCTATATGAGGCCCCTTCTACAATGCCATATAATCCAACTATCAAAGCAGATAATCCACATTATCGTCTTTGAACTGGATTATATGAGTCTACACTGCCATGTGATCCATATAATCTGGATTTTGTATGGGAGTGTAGAAGGGGCCCGAAACTGCCAGCAGAAATAGCAACATTATGTGGAAAAACAGTATCATATAACATGGATGTGCTAATTATATCAATTTAAATCAGACATACTTGTATCCCCATTGAAAGGTCAAGTATTAAACAGATGTCTGTGCTGAAATGTGCAACAAATAATACTATGTAACAAAGAGCCATTCTACACTGCCAGATAATCCAGTTCAAAGCAGATAATCTGGATTTTATACAGCTGTATAGAAGAGGTCAATATTTGACAGATCTTTCCCTAGCAAGGCAATAACTTCATACACCAGGAAAGGAGCTCAGCTCTTTTTTTGGAGGAGGCGAACCCCACCTCCTCCAAGATGAACTGAACCACCTCAACTGGGCTCTCCAGGCCAATGGATACTCCACCTCAGACATCAGAAGAGCTGCAAGACCAAGAACAAGCCATGAGAGTAAAGATGAAGATCCACCCAGAGGAAAAGTGTTCCTGCCATACATCAAGGGAACCACTGACCGCATAGGGAAGCTGATGAGGAAACACAACATACAAACAATCTACAAACCCACCAAGAAAATCCAACAAATGCTACGTTCAGCAAAGGACAAGAGGGAGCCTCTCACCTCTGCAGGAGTCTACCGTATACCATGCAGCTGTGGACAAGTCTACATAGGGACCACCAAACGCAGCATTGCCCAAACACGAATCAAGGAACATGAAAGGCACTGCAGACTACTTCAACCAGAGAAGTCAACCATAGCAGAGCACCTGATGAACCAGCCTGGACACAGCATATTATTTGAGAACACAGAAATGCTGGACCACACCAACAACCACCATGTCAGACTACACAGAGAAGCCATTGAAATCCACAAGCATGTGGACAATTTCAACAGAAAGGAAGACCATGAAAATGAACAAAATCTGGCTACCAGTATTAAAAAACTCTAAAATTACAACAGCAAAACAGCAGAGAGGAAACAACCAGGCACATCTTAACACCTCTCAACAGAACATTTTCCCAGGCTCAGCCAGGCTTTCAAATGCTAATGAAGGTGGTCAGCTGAAACATTCACACCTAGCTCCAGCAAGAGAGCTCTTTGCCCCACCCCAGTCATTCCACAGATATATAAACCCATTTTCCTATTTCCAAACAGACCTCACTACCTCTGAGGATGCTTGCCATAGATGCAGGCGAAACGTCAGGAGAAATGCCTCTAGAACATGGCCCTATAGCCCGAAAAAACCCACAAGAACCTAGTGTTTCCAGCCATGAAAGCCTTCGACAATACAGCTCTTTTTTTGTTTGTTTGTTTGGGTGACAGGAACGACTTGAGAAACTACAAGTCTCTTCTGCTGTGAGAGAATTGGCCATCTGTAAGGACGTTGCCATACACTGTCCAATCTTGATAAAATAGTAAAGAGTAGAGACAACACTGATGGCCGAAAGCGAGGAGGAGCTGAGGAGCCTTCTAATCAAGGTGAAAGAAGAAAGCGCAAAAGCCGGGTTGCAGCTAAACACAAAAAAACCAAGATTATGGCAACAAGAATGATTGACAACTGGAAAATAGAGGGAGAAAATGTGGAGGCCGTGACAGACTTTGTATTTCTAGGTGCAAAGATTACTGCAGATGCAGACTGTGGCCAGGAAATCAGAAGACGCTTCCTTCTTGGGAGGAGAGCAATGTCCAGTCTCGATAAAATCGTAAAGAGTAGAGACATCAGACTGGCAACAAAGATCCGCCTAGTCAAAGCCATGGTATTCCCTGTAGTAACCTACGGATGTGAAAGCTGGGGTGAAAATTGCTGGAAGAAACATTAACAACCTCAGATATGCAGATGACACCACTCTGATGGCCGAAGAGGAGGAGCTGAGGAGCCTTCTAATCAAGGTGAAAGAAGAAAGCGCAAAAGCCGGGTTGCAGCTAAACGTCAAAAAAACCAAGAGTATGGCAACAAGAATGATTGACAACTGGAAAATAGAGGGAGAAACCGTGGAGGCCATGACAGACTTTGTATTTCTAGGTGCAAAGATTACTGCAGATGCAGACTGTAGCCAGGAAATCAGAAGACGCTTACTTCTTGGGAGGAGAGCAATGTCCAGTCTCGATAAAATAGTGAAGAGTAGAGACATCAGACTGGCAACAAAGATCCGCCTAGTCAAAGCCATGGTATTCCCTGTAGTAACCTACGGATGTGAGAGCTGGACCTTAGGGAAGGCTGAGAGAAGGAAGATAGATGCTTTTGAACTGTGGTGTTGGAGGAAAGTGCTGAGAGTGCCTTGGACTGCGAAAAGATCCAACCAGGATATTTCAGGAAATAAAGCCAGACTACTCATTGGAGGGAAGGATAGTAGAGACAAGTTGAAGTACTTTGGCCACATCATGAGGAGACAGGAAAGCTTAGAGAAGACAATGATGCTGGGGAAATGGAAGGAAAAAGGAAGAGGGGCCGACCAAGGGCAAGATGGATGGATGGCATCCTTGAAGTGACTGGACTGACCTTGAGGGAGCTGGGGGTGTTAACGGCCGACAGGGAGCTCTGGCGTGGGCTGGTCCATGAGGTCACGAAGAGTCGGAGACGACTGAACGAATGAACAACAACAACATCTCTGATTTAAAGCTGAACCTTAGGGAAGGCTGAGCGAAGGAAGATCGATGCTTTTGAGCTGTGGTGCTGGAGGAAAGTTCTGAGAGTGCATTGGACTGCGAGAAGATCCAACCAGTCCATCCTCCAGGAAATAAAGCCCGACTGCTCATTGGAGGGAAAGATACTAGAGACAAAGTTGAAGTACTTTGGCCACATCATGAGGAGACAGGAAAGCCTAAAGACAATTATGCTGGGGAAAGTGGAAGGCAAAAGGAAGAGGGGCCGACCAAGGGCAAGATGGATGGATGGCATCCTTGAAGTGACTGGACTGACCTTGAAGGAGCTGAGGGTGGTGACGGCCGACAGGGAGCTCTGGCGTGGGCTGGTCCATGAGGTCACGAAGAGTCAGAGACGACTGAACGAATGAACAACAAGGACGTTGCCCAGGGGATGCCCAAATGTTTTGTTTTACCATTCTTCTGGGAGGCTTCTCTCATGTCCATGCAGGGGGAACTGGAGCTGACAGAGGGAGCTCAACCGGCTCTTCCCAGATTCAAACTGCTGATCTCTTGGTCAGCAGTCCTGCAGGTACAAGGGTTGAACTCATTGTGCCACCAGTAAAAGAGAGGGATGTCTATTTTGTTTTGGTTTTTTTCTGATTACACTATGGGCCCCTCCAGACAGCCCTATATCCCAGAATATCAAGGCAGAAAATCCCACATTATCTACGTGTGGACTCAGATCACCAAGTTCATAGCAGTGGGATTTTCTGCCTTGATATTCTGGGATATAGGGCTGCGTGGAAGGGCCCTGGGAAAGAGGCCCTCAGAGCGAGAGGAAGCGGCAGTCCTGGGTCTCCGGGTTTCGATTCCCAAAGTTTTCAAAGTGTGGCGACTGTGTGCGCGCGCCCCCTCAGCCTGGCCTTTGGAGCGGCGAGAGGGAAGGGGGCGTGGCTTTGGGGGAAAGGGGGCGTGGCGGGCGTGGCGCGCGCGTTGCCCGGC